CCCCCCCCCCCCCTCCCCCCCGCCCAAAAAAAGCAACATCGGTATTGGGATTCGGAAATCCGGATATGGATTTTTCCCCAAAAAAACACTCTGTTAGTTTAATAGACGTTAATTATTTTAAGCTTTAAACAAAGGACGCTAGTTAAAATCACACGTTCAGACGAAAAATGCTCTTAATGTGTTAGCTTGTTTTATGGAAAACTTAACGAAAGGAAGGGATACCAAAGAAGGTTGTGCGTGAGTCGCAAGGAAAAGCTACAAATCGCAGTCTTCCATTTCATGTATTGTGACCATGCAATGTATAGCCTGCGGGCAAGCTCTCCATTTGGGGGATATCGTGAAAAGTAGACGCGCGAGAGGCACGCGAGAGGAGACGCGAAAGCGGGGGGTGCGGGGAGAAAGGATTTCCTCGTCCTCTCGCGTATTCGCCGTTCGCTCGTGTGTTCTCGCGCGGCTCGCTTCACTCACCCAAATAAAAGAGCTTGCTCGCAGGCTATGCAATGTATGAACACAATTACTTCACAAAACATTTAAACTAGGTTTAGGTGGCGTTTCCATTTTTATTTACGTCTTTTTACTTAATTCAAACGATTCAATCATATAACACAATTTTGTAAACTTTCCTTTTTATGGCCACCCATATTTTCATTCTACGTCTGGTGACCATCTTATACCGTAAAATTAATGACCTAACAGATGCCCACTCAAAAATAGACCCCTCTTATCTATGCTGTTAAAATTGTATTAGGACCTGTTCACAAAGTCAAGGAGAGAGGGTTACCCTCATGCTAGGGTTACCCTCACAAGCAGGTTAAAGGTAGCCTGGGTTTATAAGCAAATTTCACAGGTAGGGTTACCCTATCACCCGGGTCAACTTAACCATCTTTACTGACATGTTCCGTCATGCGTGACATTCCTTGTAACACCCAAGATTTGAAATAAGACTTGAAGTTCTCCATGGAAAACTTGTTAAATTCACAAAAAAAGGGAAAATATTATCATCGTATACAGAAAATACCTTATCTTGTTCAGATGTTTATAATTTGGCTCAGAAATTGGATCATTCCATTAAAATTGTCAGAATTAATGGTCATGCAAGAAGGAGGAAGGTTGTCCCAGGTAGGCGAGTTATCCCTAGCAGAGGGGTAACCCTCTTGCTAGGGAAACCCAAGCACTCAGGTAGGCTTACCCTAGTGCTGGGGTAGCCCTCCTTCCTTGTAAACAGGGCCTTAGAACCTTCTCTCTAATAAACGCCCCATCTAATAGACGCCTCCTACAAGAATTACTCTTAAATAATAGGAAATAGCAAAAAGGAGCAAAACATTCAATTTGTTCAGTTTATTGCTTGATTGGCAGGGGTTTGCACATTGTAGATCTTGTTTAATGTCAAGTTCAAAGCAAGGATAGACCAGTGATAGCAATGCAATAACCATAAGCAAGGATCAGATTCTGACATCAAAGTTAAGAAGTGAAAGAGCGATATGGATCTCTATACAGCCTAGACGTATCAATTGATGGAATGGATATTCCGCTATTTTTAAACTCTCTTGCTTTTTTTTTCAAAATTAAATTCAGGTTCAGGTTCAGGTTCAGGTTCAAGTTAACCTGAATTTAATTTTAACCCATAACATAAACACCTCTGTCTTTTAAAAGCCTCCTATCCATTAAATGCCCCCCTCTGGATGCTTAAAATTAAATGGATGCCCTGGGCATTTACAAGGCCATTTACAGTAATTGTAGGCTACCGAGGGGTACAACAACGCTAAGCTTGGAGCACTGATTTTTATCTCAAGACAAATCACACCCAGTCATATAATTCACAATGTTTGGCAATACGTGACATTTTTGCTCACATTTTGCATGTTCTACAGTATACTACTCTTGGAACTTGGTAGAGACCAGGGGCGCTTTCCATTTAGGGAAAAAACCCGGAAATTTCGGTGGGAGCAAAAGTGGAATTTCCGATTGGTAAAAAGTTGTTCCATTTGGTCTTAAACCCCGGTACGTCGCGGTGCCCTACCGTGGACCTGGAACTGGTACAAATTACGAGAAACGTAAATGGAACACGACATTCCGTTCGGAAATTCCAACCGGGAAAACAGGACCACCTTTTTAGATTTTCCACTTTTTCTGAGAATTTTCCAGTGGGACGAGCAGACGAAACGTGTTCCATTTACCGCCGAAATTTTGACTAAATGGAAAGCGCCCCAGGAATGACCTAGCCAAGAACGCCTGAGGACTAGGCTGGATACAGACCTTCGAAACAAAAAGCCGCCATCTTTTATCCTACGGTGCATTTTGTTTTAAGTAGAACCCAGACTACTATTCGGCAAGAGAGTGCCTAGCGCTTTTTGCTTGTTCATTTTTGAAATGTTTGACTTTGGCAATTCTTCATTTTTTTCAAGACTTTTAGCACTTTTTGGTACGATACAAATAAAATAAAAATATCATGTATTCCTCAGAGAGTGATCACTTTACTTATCCAGAGGACTAGTGGGAAAGAAAACTACTCTTTTTCAGAATTTTTTCCCCGTTTTGGACGAGTGGACAACTGTTAAGTTCGAGCACTGTAAATCAAATGCTGGACACCCTGGACTTCAAAGGTTCATATAAGCACTGAGCTCCCTTCATTTGTTTTCTTAGAGCACAGCCTTGTATTATGATGCATACATGTAACTTATGTAAGCCCCAGCCACTGTCAACTAATTGGACAAGTCTGCCGAGCAAGGAGTCAAACCCTGGCTGGACCATTACTCAGGCAATTAAAATAACTTTAAATGGTCAGACTTCTTGGCCTTCTCAGATATTGTGTTGTCTCATAAACTATAAGCCCTACACCATTGTAAACAAGGAAAATTCTGTGGGACATTGAAGTACCCAAAAACTGTTCAAAGGGAGTACGGGATCATTACCGGCATGTGGTTATGGGAGCTTGTGGACACAGTAGTACAGTATGTGGATACAGTACAATAAGTAGTCTGGCTGGATTAGTTTTAAGGGCTCTTCTTAGAATAAACCTAAATATAATATCTTTCATCATTGGCTTTCCCGGGGACTTAATCCTGGGATATACCAGGGAGGTTATATTTAGGTTGAGACAAAAGACTGCTAAAACCGTGGGGCAGAGACCTCAGAACTTATATCTGGTTATCTACTGGGTGCTGAAACCTTCACTCACTCACTCAATAATCAAAATATTAATTACACAAGATCAGTAGAAGACACTTATTTAAGATTACTACTGTTATCTCCCGTTAATATAGCCATATGTGAAATATAACGGAGAAATATTATCCTTAAATACCTGAAATTCCATGATACGTATGTAAAAACCCTTGAGTAAGATTTTTCTCAATCTACTTGAAATGATTCCTATACAAAGATTCCTATGCCACCCATGGATATTTAGCTTAATTTTTATACAAGAGTTCTGCCTACCGAAATGAAATGGGCTTGACACGTCATTCGCGAAAGACATCAGACATCCCAGTACGTTTACCAAGAGCAATTAGGTTTCAACTTACCGTTGCTACACTGATTTGCCATCCATAACAATCCAAAAAAAGTAAGGGTTATTGAGAGAATCAAAAGATTCATGGGACTAAAAATTCTCGTTCTCAGCATGGTTAAGTCTAGAGTTGGCTAAAAGTTACGATGAATGGCATAAAATATTGAAACGCTCTCGCCATATTGGTTTTGTCAGTTTTTACAAGGCGACTCAAGAACCGAGAAAGACTAGAGGTGAGTCATTCCCAGTCTCTCTTCGTTAACTTTTCGCGGTCTACAATCCTGCAAAGCAAAGCTCAAAGCAAAGCTGTACGATTTCTCCTCTGTTGGAACGATGGTTTGGCCTTTAATAATGGGAGCAGCTCGAGTTTATGCTCCCTATATCGTTTTACCGGTTGCAGTGGTAGTGGGGAGTGTCGGCTATTTCATCGAATCTCGAGTCCGGAAAAATGACAAGTGGAATAAAGAAAAACCCAGCACTCTCCAAGAACGAACATTGAGACAACTTGAGGCGCTGGAGGATCCAACAAAAGTACAGAGTTTAAAATACAAAGAAGGGATTCCAACGACTATGTTTGAAAGAAACCAAGGATACAAAACTGGTTTTACGGGAAGGTCACTTGAGCTTGGAGAAACGTCCGGTGAAAAGAACACCCAATCTTGATTTATATTTTGTTAAAGATATTTGATCGACTGCAATCGGTTGCCTGGGGGTAAAAAGCTTGCAATTATTCAAAAAAGGACGCATTCAAGTAGGGTTTATGGAGTTTTAATGGGGAAATGAAGCAATACAGTTGGGTAATTATTGCGAAAACGTCCTTCATACTTACTGTATATTGAATCATTTTGCTTCCTTACTAACGCGTAAGACTGGAGACTAGTAATTTCCCTGCTCTTGCACAGAATAAAACAATATGCGCTGCTTTTCAAATTGCCTTGTATGGGGGCAACAACAAAACAAGAGTCAGGAATGGAAGAAGCAACCATGAAACAGCTAGCATTCTCTCAGGATTCATTGTTATGCTGGCAAGCCGTGCAAGTGAGTGTGGCAAACACATGAGGGAGGAGACAGGTTTGCTTTACTTGCTTGCATAACATACTCGCCGTGCAACAAATCCTGGAGACTAGAGACTGCCAGCAGCCTATAAAAGCACCATTGGAGAAACAACAATGAGACAGCTCAGCTAGATTCAAGAGAACATGAGATCATGAGAAAAGTGGCAGTTGAGGTTAAAGTAAAGTGTTTTCCACTGACTTTTTCGACGGGAAATCGAGAATATAAGACTGGTTAAGAACAATAGGCCAGTGTTTGCACATCTCCAACATGACCAATGCATGCAGCAACCTCAATGATTTTTCTCATACATCATCAAAAAAAAAAAAAAACAAGAACAGTACGAGATATCTAGGAATGAGCCAAGTGTAGGGGTAGATACTGTCTTGGATTCACAGACAATTTTCTTTGGAAACAGGTAACCTGGTAATTTCTAAGGAAGCATATGACAAGTGCTTCAAAGTACAAGAGGAAGGGAGTACTCAGAGGATGCAAATGGCCTATTCTGCCCTTTCCCCTTCCATTTTGAAGCTGTGTTATGTAGCTGAGAGAGTTGCATGTTACTTGTTCATGTAGCCGGTCACTTCACCTTGCTGGTACCCTTTATCCTTGGTATGCTACTTCTAGCCTCCCATGCAAACGCCTTATGACGTCTCCATGGAAGGCTTAAGACGGAGTCCATCAGGAAATTGAGTAATTTTAATTTTCAGTGGACCAAAACCCTGTACCAGAATAATATTTAAAGAATATTGCATTCTTTGTTACATTTTACATTTTTCAAGGACTAAAGATTTAATTAGTTGTCTGTAATAACACCAAAGGAAATTTCTCATGGAAGTCCGAGAAAATGAATGTCAAATTTCACAAGAATTGTGAAAACACAGGTAAAATTCTGAAAATTTTATGTGTAAGGTGTAGTTTTGTGAAATTTGACATTCATTTTCTTGGGCTCCCATAACAACTTTTCTTTGGTGTTATTAAGAACGACTAACTACATCTTTAGTCCTTGAAAAATGAGAAAAAGAATGCAATATTCTTTAATTTATTCTGGTAAAAGGTTTTTGTCCACTGAAAATTAAAATTACTCAATTTCCTAGTGGATTCCATCTTAGTTAAAATATACCAGGTGATAAGCTGTTATTAAAAACACGTCACAAACAATGCTTCATAATGCCTCAGTTTTACTGAAAATATTTTATTGTGTAACAAAGTGATAAAGCTACACATTTAAATTGCTCCAACATAAATAATAATGTACATGCTCCTATATACAAACTAATTCACTGCACTCATAAAAAAATTTGTCAATTATTATTTTCTTGGAGCCTCATTAAAAATGGATAATAATCATAATAATTGATTGAGCAAGAAGAATGAGGGTTTGAGGAAGCTATCTCATTCAGGCAACAAGGGACATGGTGAAGACAGTGACTCGGCTAAGAAAACTCAGACTCATCTGTACATTCAACTGATGTGATTCTTCAAATATGTACTTTGTACAACTAATGCTGGAAAGTGAATGCACGACCTGTGTTTTCATGTTGTAGGGAAATCAACCATTTCTTGCAATTCTTGTATTATGATGCATACATGTAACTTATGTAAGCCCCAGCCACTGTCAACTAATTGGACAAGTCTGCCGAGCAAGGAGTCAAACCCTGGCTGGACCATTACTCAGGCAATTAAAATAACTTTAAATGGTCAGACTTCTTGGCCTTCTCAGATATTGTGTTGTCTCATAAACTATAAGCCCTACACCATTGTAAACAAGGAAAATTCTGTGGGATATTGAAGTACCCAAAAACTGTTCAAAGGGAGTACGGGATCACTACCGGCATGTGGTTATGGGAGCTTGTGGACACGGTAGTACAGTATGCGGATACAGTACAATGTGGTTAAGTAGTCTGGCTGGATTAGTTTTAAGGGCTCTTCTTAGCATAAACCTCAATATAATATGTTTCATCATTGGCTTTCCCGGGGGCTTAATCCTGGGATATACCAGGGAGGTTATCTTTAGGCTGAGACAAAAGACTGCTAAAACCGTGGGGCAGAGACCTCAGAACTTATGTCTGGTTATCTACTGGGTGCTGAAACCTTCACTCACTCACTCAATAATCAAAATATTAATTACACAAGATCAGTAGAAGACACTTATTTAAGATTACTACTGTTATCTCCCGTTAATATAGCCATATGTGAAATATAACGAGAGAAATATTATCCTTAAATACCTGAAATTCCATGATAGGTATGTAAAAACCCTTGAGTAAGATTTTTCACAATCTACTTGAAATGATTCCTACAAAAAGATTCCTATGGATATTTAGCTTCATTCCTATACAAGAGTTTTGCCTACCGAAATGAAATGGGCTTGACACGTCATTCGCGAAAGACATCAGACATCCCAGTGCGTTTACCAAGAGCAATTAGGTTTCAACTTACCGTTGCTACACTGACTTGCCATCCATAACAATCCAAAAAACGTAAGGGTTATTGAGAGAATCAAAAGATTCATGGGACTAAAAATTCTCGTTCTCAGCATGGTTAAGTCTAGAGTTGGCTAAAAGTTACGATGAATGGCATAAAATATTGAAACGCTCTCGCCATATTGGTTTTGTCAGTTTTTACAAGGCGACTCAAGAACCGAGAAAGACTAGAGGTGAGTCATTCCCAGTCTCTCTTCGTTAACTTTTCGCGGTCTACAATCCTGCAAAGCAAAGCTCAAAGCAAAGCTGTACGATTTCTCCTCTGTTGGAACGATGGTTTGGCCTTTAATAATGGGAGCAGCTCGAGTTTATGCTCCCTATATCGTTTTACCGGTTGCAGTGGTAGTGGGGAGTGTCGGCTATTTCATCGAATCTCGAGTCCGGAAAAATGACAAGTGGAATAAAGAAAAACCCAGCACTCTCCAAGAACGAACATTGAGACAACTTGAGGCGCTGGAGGATCCAACAAAAGTACAGAGTTTAAAATACAAAGAAGGGATTCCAACGACTATGTTTGAAAGAAACCAAGGATACAAAACTGGTTTTACGGGAAGGTCACTTGAGCTTGGAGAAACGTCCGGTGAAAAGAACACCCAATCTTGATTTATATTTTGTTAAAGATATTTGATCGACTGCAATCGGTTGCCTGGGGGTAAAAAGCTTGCAATTATTCAAAAAAGGACGCATTCAAGTAGGGTTTATGGAGTTTTAATGGGGAAATGAAGCAATACAGTTGGGTAATTATTGCGAAAACGTCCTTCATACTTACTGTATATTGAATCATTTTGCTTCCTTACTAACGCGTAAGACTGGAGACTAGTAATTTCCCTGCTCTTGCACAGAATAAAACAATATGCGCTGCTTTTCAAATTGCCTTGTATGGGGGCAACAACAAAACAAGAGTCAGGAATGGAAGAAGCAACCATGAAACAGCTAGCATTCTCTCAGGATTCATTGTTATGCTGGCAAGCCGTGCAAGTGAGTGTGGCAAACACATGAGGGAGGAGACAGGTTTGCTTTACTTGCTTGCATAACATACTCGCCGTGCAACAAATCCTGGAGACTAGAGACTGCCAGCAGCCTATAAAAGCACCATTGGAGAAACAACAATGAGACAGCTCAGCTAGATTCAAGAGAACATGAGATCATGAGAAAAGTGGCAGTTGAGGTTAAAGTAAAGTGTTTTCCACTGACTTTTTCGACGGGAAATCGAGAATATAAGACTGGTTAAGAACAATAGGCCAGTGTTTGCACATCTCCAACATGACCAATGCATGCAGCAACCTCAATGATTTTTCTCATACATCATCAAAAAAAAAAAAAAACAAGAACAGTACGAGATATCTAGGAATGAGCCAAGTGTAGGGGTAGATACTGTCTTGGATTCACAGACAATTTTCTTTGGAAACAGGTAACCTGGTAATTTCTAAGGAAGCATATGACAAGTGCTTCAAAGTACAAGAGGAAGGGAGTACTCAGAGGATGCAAATGGCCTATTCTGCCCTTTCCCCTTCCATTTTGAAGCTGTGTTATGTAGCTGAGAGAGTTGCATGTTACTTGTTCATGTAGCCGGTCACTTCACCTTGCTGGTACCCTTTATCCTTGGTATGCTACTTCTAGCCTCCCATGCAAACGCCTTATGACGTCTCCATGGAAGGCTTAAGACGGAGTCCATCAGGAAATTGAGTAATTTTAATTTTCAGTGGACCAAAACCCTGTACCAGAATAATATTTAAAGAATATTGCATTCTTTGTTACATTTTACATTTTTCAAGGACTAAAGATTTAATTAGTTGTCTGTAATAACACCAAAGGAAATTTCTCATGGAAGTCCGAGAAAATGAATGTCAAATTTCACAAGAATTGTGAAAACACAGGTAAAATTCTGAAAATTTTATGTGTAAGGTGTAGTTTTGTGAAATTTGACATTCATTTTCTTGGGCTCCCATAACAACTTTTCTTTGGTGTTATTAAGAACGACTAACTACATCTTTAGTCCTTGAAAAATGAGAAAAAGAATGCAATATTCTTTAATTTATTCTGGTAAAAGGTTTTTGTCCACTGAAAATTAAAATTACTCAATTTCCTAGTGGATTCCATCTTAGTTAAAATATACCAGGTGATAAGCTGTTATTAAAAACACGTCACAAACAATGCTTCATAATGCCTCAGTTTTACTGAAAATATTTTATTGTGTAACAAAGTGATAAAGCTACACATTTAAATTGCTCCAACATAAATAATAATGTACATGCTCCTATATACAAACTAATTCACTGCACTCATAAAAAAATTTGTCAATTATTATTTTCTTGGAGCCTCATTAAAAATGGATAATAATCATAATAATTGATTGAGCAAGAAGAATGAGGGTTTGAGGAAGCTATCTCATTCAGGCAACAAGGGACATGGTGAAGACAGTGACTCGGCTAAGAAAACTCAGACTCATCTGTACATTCAACTGATGTGATTCTTCAAATATGTACTTTGTACAACTAATGCTGGAAAGTGAATGCACGACCTGTGTTTTCATGTTGTAGGGAAATCAACCATTTCTTGCAATTTTTGCAATGGTCCATGTGATTATGGTTTGTAGCTGAAAGAAATGAGAGAAAATGGAAATTTAACTATTTTATCAATGACTGTTATTTTGACTGTTACTATCTAACTCTCCTTCTAATCATGTAAACTAACAGAAGTATCCGTGTAATAGGCACGTTCATCCTCGGAGACCCAGGGGCAGATAGTGGGGGCGAGGGAAAGTCCAAACAGGCGAAAAATATGGCACGAAGAAAAGTAAAGAACGGTGAGAAGAGCCCCTGGGGACAATGTCTTACCAAACCAGTTCCAAACGGTCGCCGCCATTTCGGCTTCTGATTGGTACCAGAAAAACACAAAGTTTTCTGGCACCAATCAGAAGCCGGAACGGCAGCGACCGTTTGGAACTGGTTTGGTAAGACATTATCCCCAGGGGCTCTTCTCACCGTTCTTTACTTTTCTTCATGCCATATTTTTCCGCCCATTTAGACTTTTTCTCGCCCTCACTATCTGCCCCTGGATCTCCGAGGATGAGGCACGTTAAATTGACTGTAAAGTAACACAATTTCACTGGATTCCAATGCAATGTAAGCATCAGGATTCCACAATGTATACACTGTAGCCTACTAATACAGCCACCTCTGCTCACTCCTCGCTGCTTGGGACCTTTCATAGTAGTGATGTCTACAACTCAACAACAGAAATACCACACTGGTGAAGTAAGTCAATGTCTACATAAGGTATATTTTCCACAGATATTGACTGTTTTGCCGTAAATTCAGGGCATTTTCTTTAGGCCACGAGCGAAGCGAGGTTATAATTTTGTCGCCCGGTTCACGCGAGGACCGCAAGCAGAGTGTGATTTTGCTGTGGTCATAAATCTTTCTAATGGTTTGGTATGTGCAGTTACCTAGCAACAAAATCATAAACAAATCCTAAAGGACGTCATCACGTATTTTGGGTTTCCAGGCAACATGGCCACCAACTAGGGCTTATTTTATTCATCCTTTGCTTACTGTACGTTGGCAAATCGCCTGGTGAAACGCAAAGTATTTCTGAGGCAAATAACAGTGGGCTGCAAACACAACAGTGCCTGATTGGACAAGTGGCTGGAAATTCTTGCCGTGGAAGATTTAACACCGAAAGAACAGTGACCTGAACTTCAGTGAGAGCAGCAAAGAAGATGACTAGTGCATTCATCAAGCAGCCTATATAAATCCCAAGAGTGGATAAACACGAATATAGTGCTAATCGTTTTGAAATACTCTTTTATGCTACATATATACTTTTCCTCACGTGTATCTTTGAATTATTCATGATATATGCAGGTCCACAAGATTCAAACAGTGTGAATGGCAGAGAAAAATACTTCAAGACTATTAATTTTACATGACAAAATAATGCAGTGGTCACATGGCCCAGTGATATAAGGCCTCACTTTTTGCGTTGGAGGAAGTTGGGGTGCAGGTTCAAAACCCTGCGGGGCTAATTCCAGTTTTTGTTTCTTTCATTGTATTTTTACCCTTTAGCTTGTTTCTGTTTATTCTCACCACTGACCCTTTTTAGCTTTTGATCACGTATTTCTTGTATAAATATTAAAAGCCAACGAATTATTAAAAATGGCATTATAATTTAAATACATGTATGTATTTTTTTCTGATTGTTGCAGATCTAGAATATGTGGTATTACAAAATCTAAAATAGTTACTACCAAGTACAAACCTTTCCCAGTACTTGTGATTTAAATTGCTGAAATCATTGAGTTGTGCAATGTTCTCCAGGTACTTGGCAAGTTTCAACAACTCCTTGTCTTTGTGCCTGTTTTTATGGGCTTCTCGAAAAGGTCTGATCTACAAAAAGAAAATGACCTCTGCAAAATAATCTCTGAGAAAGGAGCACAGCAATCCTAACTAAAGATTTCCCACTTTCCACATTTGGGTGGTGACACACCATCAGCATGGAATTTCCGCAGTTGTTAAATGTTCCTCAGACATGATTTCCTATGGCCCTACATACATGTAACAAATTCAGGCTTTAATTCTGTGCTGATATATTAATTGATCAAGTCATCAGAGTGTTCAAGTGGACACAAAATTACAGATGTGTACCTTCAAACCATTTTGAGGATTCATGAGAAAGTTCCTTCTGAGATCATCAAACATGATTGTGTTTTTACTGTTGTATTCCTCAAATTTTCCCCAAATAACACCAAGTGGTTTGGTCTGCAAGAAATTAAGGTTGACTTAATGATAAGATTATTATGGCCAATTAATAGCCTAAGGTCACTCTCTTAATCACTCAGTACTTGAAAATTAAATCTAACTAATGACAGACCAGCCAAGTCCCCCAGTCTCATGGTGAGTTGCGAAGATCTTACAGCAAACTGGTATGATCCTTATTTGAATTTAAAATAAATAAATAATATAATGATGATAAAATTAGTTTTAAAAATAGAGAAAATGTGTTGACATTCATAAAATTATCTTTGTTATGTGAATTCTAAAATACGTACTCAATACTGTAAATATGGCAATTGATAAACTGACAAAACCTCCAGGAATTATGTATTTGTTTTATACCATATATGGTCATGGTTGATCACCTGACAAGGTTGGCATCATTCTCCCTGTACAATAATGAGCATAGGTAAAATCTGCATCCTTCAAGGAAAAATAAATTGTAGACACTAAGAACATTTCCCTCTAGTATTTTTAAAGATCTTTAGGCCATGGATGCAAGTAATATTCATTTCTGTGATTATGACAAATCTCCAGGTTTCTTAATTTAGGTGATCTCCAGGTTTTTGAGTCATCTCCTCCAGGTTTTTTATGTTTTTAGGTTGACAGGTCTTTAATGATATACAGCTCCACTTATTCTTCTTGAAAACCACAATAGTTTACTGACCACTCCCCCAGGGTGCAATTATTATTGGTTTGCTTGTCAGTGATCACAGCTGCTGTCAATTTAATGATGCTTCTGAATGGTCACCTGAACCACAGTCATCAGTAGATGACTGATGATGTTGATAAATAACTTAATTAATGAGGTTATTACAAAATTACATTGCATAATCAAAGAAAAATATAACAACAAAGTCATTATCGCCATGAATGCAGTTCTATTCAAAACATTTATTTGCATTAATGAACTTCAACAATTAGTTACATATTGTGCAGTATACAAGAAAAAAAAGTCATACAGAAATTTTAGAAATTAAAGGCACTGCATTCAAATTTCCTGAAGTAAATTACCTCAATAAGACCATACTTTGAAGACAAGACAGTGATCATGGCTCCACTGTCTAGTAGAAAGCATATCTTGTAATTTGGATTGTCTAAAATACCCAGCTCCTACAGGAAAACAACAAAAGCTTAAAATAGGCAAACTTGAAATCATTAGCGAGCCTACGCAACAGAACAGCAGAAAGAAGAGGATGGCAATCAGTGTGTGCAAACATAACAGGGCTACTACTTGCCTCTTTGTCGTAAACTTTACTTAACATTAATGTGTTCTCCTTTCTTGATCTGCTGTCCTGTTTGCATGAGTTCACTATATTATACAGGGCTGATGGAAGTGACACTAAGAAGTGTGGAATTGAACAACTAGGGAGTTGACTTTTGGTTATCTATTTTACCTCCAATTCCTATGAAAACAGCTGGGGTTATGTTCAAA